AGTTGTGTTCTTCAAAAGCAGATTTGTTTGTTCTTTTGGCAATCTATGGGACTCCTCCAATGCTCCAATTCAAAGGAACCGAATCGTCTTCAATCTTTCTTATTCATTGTCCAACTTTCAGATGCATAAAAAGTTAATTGAAAAAGACTATGACTTGCATCAGTTGCACCTTAGTCTTTATCTTGATGTCTTTGCTTATTGATGTTTTTAAAAGGTCTTTGACAGCACATTGCCACAATGAAACACATCTTTTGAATTCTTGGCTGCTGTAACCATGGGTGTTGATTGTGGATTCAAGTAGAGTGATCTCATTGATAACTTCTTTCTTTTCTCCCTCTATCATGATGTTGCTTATTGGTCTAGTGGTGAAGATTCTTGTTTTATTGATGTTGAAGTGTAATCCATATTAAAGGCTGTAGTCCTTTATCCTCTGCAGCAACTATTTTGAGTCCTCTTTACTTTCAGAGAAGCTGTGTTTTGTGCGTGACGTAGTTCATTGATGAATCTTCCTCTAATCCTGATGTCACATTCGTCTTCAGATAGTCCAGCTTCTCAAATTATTGGCTTATTAGACCAAGGAAATAGTTATGAAGAAAGGACACAGCCCTGATGCACGCTTTACTTGATTTTAAACTATGTGATATTTCCTGTACGTACAACTGCTCTTGGTCTGTGCCTAGGTTTCACAAGAGCAGAGTCAAATGTTCTGGGACTCTCATTCTTCTCATGGCCCTTTTGGTCCTTAAACTGGAGTAGACAGCTGGCTGCACTGGCTGCGTTTGTTTCCTTCAGAGTTCCAAGCAGGTTCATTCTGGCTTGTCCCCTTGATGAGGTTTTCTCCTTCCTCTCAGAGAGACTGATTTTTAAAAATCTACATTTCAACAGGATCCCTAGGAGATGCATAAATATATACCAAACCAAAACCCACTGTCAGCTTGAGCTGATTTCAACCTCATAACACAGCGTTGGGATTTCCATGGCTGTTTTTCCTTCTCCCAATGTGTGTTTGAATCACAGACTTTTTGGTTAGCAGCCAACCACCCTAGCCAGTGTGCCACTAGGACTGTTTTGTGTACTTGTCATTGTTGTTGTGTACCATTGAGTCAGAACCAACCCATAGCTCAACCTCCAGCAGGTTTTCAGAAGCAGTAAGTCACATGGGAGTTGATTGTCCATCTTTCTTTCATGGAGCAGCTGGTAGATTTGAACCATGTACGTTTGCTATGGCAGCGCAATTCCTTACCACCAATGTGTTCTTTGTATATAAATATTGAATTTCCCTAGGGTGGAAGTCTACTCGAAGGCATTGGCTTAAAACCCTGCTGAACTGAACAACTCAGTGTTGCTGTGATGCTGCACACTGTTCGATAGTCTTGTCAAATACCTTAATGGTTACCCGTTATGTATAGTGTTTGGATGAGCTTCCAGATTGAGTTATGGTGGGAAGCAGGAGTGGCATCTACTTCCTAAAACTAGATGCCTCTGGAAACTCTACAAACAGAGTTCTGTGCAGAAATGGTGTCAGTCACAGAACAGAGCCTAGAACTTTTTGTGCAAAATGGACTCTCAGTCATATTCAACTGGACGACACTTAATGATTGCTAAGTGAGACTAGTGCTGTTATATCTGGGGGAACACACTTCCATTGTGTCCCTGGCAGTATGAAGTAACCTGGGTTTGCTGTGATGCTGAACCTTTTGCCCCTGGGGTATCAAATACCAGAATGGCTTCCCAATGTGGACAGTGTTTGGTGGAGTTCCCAGTTGTAAAAAAAGTTTGGAAGCAGGAGTGGCATCCACTTCCTAACCCACATGCCTCTGGAAACTCTGTGAACTTGGTGAAATGATGACAGTTATGGAAAGGCATTAGGTCTCTTGTTCATAGAGTCACTATGAGTCACACTTGACTCAACAGCAATCAACAACAATCTACATTTAACAAAATCCCCAGTGAATCCTGGGGCTCCTGTTAAAAAGTAGATTCTGATTCCATTTATTTGGGGTGGAAATCTAGAGTCTCAGCAGGGTATCAAACTGGCTTGAACTCGTTCAGAGCCTTTGTTTTCTTTAACCTGGAAATGTTCCCAGGGCAGAGAGAAGCCCCAAAATGCTCTGTCCTGTGTCCTTTAGCTACAGGAAGGACACACAGGGGCCAATTTGATGTGGGGAGATTCAGGCAAGACTGTCCTGCTGTACCCCAGCTTGGAGTGGGTCGCCTTCAAGTGTTGACCCACACACTTAAGCATGTGGCTTCAGGGACTGCTAAGGAAGGGAGAGGAATATTTATTTTTGACAAGGGAGGGCCATGGCTAATTTACTGGAAGAGATAAAAATAAAGAATTGTGGTCAGCTTTGGTAAAAGCTACGAGTTCTGAATGCTGCCACTGCATTTGTGGCTGCTTTACACATAAGGTAGCCCAGGAGTCTTTAGCAAAGCCTTTTCAGTGGAATCTTCCACTCCAAATAATGAAAAATGCAAAGGTTTGGGGAACTGAACCATCTCTCCCTCTCTGGTAATAACTGGGTAAACCAGTCAGCCCTACGCTTCCTCCCAGCTGGCTCTTTCTCAGCCCAAGGGGAGTGTGTCTGATTGGGAGAAATTAGAACCAGAGCTATTTGCTGTGAACCAACCTCAGCCAGAGAATGTCTAGAAATTGTAACTTCTGTCTGAGGAAACTGGAGCGGCATCATTGATTTGATGGTTAAAACTTCAGTCATGGAACTCTAGCCTTCAGAATTTTTTAAAGATTGGCAGACTTTCTCTACAAAGGGCCAAAATGGTAAATATTTTCTATTTGGGAGACCAAGAAGTAAAATTGATAGTATTATATAGATATTTCTAGAAACATTTATAATACAAAAATCATAACAGTCAGTGAGTTATACAAAAACAGGCCGAGGACAAGAACCAGAGTTTTCTGACCCTTGGTGGTGGTGGTGGTGGTGGTGGTGGTGGCGGCGGCGGCAGTTTATTTGCCATTGAATTGACCACAACACCTCGTGACCTCATGAACAATACCTCTGGGCCTTGCTCTATCCTGAGCCTACCTCACTGTCTCTGACATACCTGCCCCCATTGCCACAGTCCGTGTGTCAGTCCGTTTCCTCCAGGGTCTTCCTTTCCTGGGCTGACCCTCTATCCTTCCAAGCATGATGTCCTTCTCCAGGGACTGGTCCCTTCTGCCAACACAGCCACAATATTTGAGGCAGAGTTTTGAAATCCTTGCCTCCAAGGAACAACCTGGTTCCACTCTCTCCAGGACAGACTTGACAGTTCATGGTATATTGTTAGCCACCATCAAGTCAGATCATGTGCAATGGATGATAGCCCTGCAAGGCCCGGCACCATCACCGTGCTTCATTGCAAAATGAACCATTATGATCCATAGGGTTTGCACTGGCTGACTTGGAAGTAGATGAGTGGGTCTTTATTATTATTATTATTATTATTATTATTATTATTCATTTTAATGAAAGTTTTTACAGAGACTTAGGGTTTCCAGTTATTGTTGCACTTTTCTCCCTGCCCACGCCCTCCCCCCCATTCACTCTTGTCCTTGAAAAGTAAAATAAAAACTCTTTCATTGTTATGCAATCCCTCCGCCCAAGTCCACTCCACTATGCAGCCTTCACTCTGGACTTCTGTAATGACAAGAATACCCATTCATAGATCCCTTTTAAACAGCTCTCTCCCTCATCTGTTTCAATGCAATATACATCATTCTTCTCCTCCTTTTCTGCCTTCCCTCAACCCCGATGTCAGTCCGTTTCACAGCAGTGGCACTATGCAATATTTGTCCTTTTGTGACTGAAATATTTCACTCAGCATAATGTCCTCCGGTGTCATCCATTTTACATAATATTTCATGAGTTCCTTGTTTTTTCAATGCTGCATAGTATTCCATAGTGTGAATATGCCAGAGCTTCTCTATCCATTCGTTTGTTGATGGGCACTTGGGTTGTTTCCAGCTTTTTGCTATTGCGAACAAAGCCGCAATAAACATGGGTGGGCATATTTCTGCTTGGGTGGCACTTATGGTTCCTTTAGGGTAAATCCCCAGTAGTGGAATTGCTGGGTCAGATGGTATTTCTATTTGCAACATTTTGAGAAAGCACCATACAGCCATCCACAGTGGTTGCGTCATTTTACACTCAAGTGGTTCTTCCTTGCTAAACTGTCTCAGTCTGGAAGAGTCACTGGCATCTTTTCAGCATCATAGCAACATGCAAGCCTCCACTGACATACAACTGGTCCATGTGTATGAGGTACACTGGCCTGGAATTGAAAGAGGGTTTCGTGAATGGAAAATGAGAATTCTACCATTCAGTCACCAGGGCTTTTCTGCTCTAGTTCGAGTCCCTGATCCTCTGCCTGCTTCCATTCATTAAACTTCATGGACATGGGCGTTACCATGACAGGTTTAATGAAGGGCAGGGAATAGAATACTAGAATAGCAAAGGAAGAGATAGCGAGCTTGGCCTTTAATTGTAGCAGAGAGGTGAGAGGTGTACTATTTGAGTTACAGCGCCCTTCCTAACCCAAAATGCCTAAATGTAATTTTGAGTCCAAGGTGCTCAGGAGGGAGAAGTCAAGGGAATGACTGTTAATATTGGGGTCTGACCTTCACCCTTGGCCTCTTCTGCTCACTCTCACTGTCTTGAGACATTCACCCACAGTTAAAAAACACTTGTTTGCCAAGCATTTCTGTCCTCTCCTTGCAAGATATTGGGCAGCCTTCAAAACACTTCTCTGCTTCCACTTGTCTGTGTGACCTTGAGACAGTTGTTTAACCTCTCTGAGCTTCAATTTCCTCATTCCTAAAATTTAAAAAAATATACTAGAATCTGCCTCTGGGGGATGGCACAGGCAGTGGGAGGACAGAGGAAATTTCATATGTGAACTCACCTGACTACTAATACCATTCATTTTCATGTTCCTTCTTTTCTCTGCCACTTCTCACTATTGATTTGATGTACCCTATTTTTTTTTTTCTTTTAAAGGCTGGACTAGGACAGGGGGGCACAGAAGTAATCCTCCAACCACAGTCCTTGGATCCCCAAAGCACACGGAAAAAGAAGGTAATGTTTATCCTGTGGACTAGCAGGTTAGCCACATCTACACCACAGCCTCTGCGGAATGAGTTGTAGATGTCGCCATCCGTCCCATGAGAGCCCAGGAGGACATGTCTGAGACTCACCAGTGGTTTCATGAACAGGCTAGTCCTCCCGGCTCTTGGAGGAATGCATTTTGCCTGAGATCTTCACGGTCTTTATTGAGGAGCTGTTTACCCACTGACGGAGCTCTGCTAACCTAGTCCATAGAGTTTTGCTGTTAACCTGAAGGCAGCCAGTTCAATGCCACCAACTACTTCATGGGAGAAAGATAGACACTGTCCTCTCATTCAATTTATCACCCTGAAAATCTGCTAAAGGATGAGTTCTAAGCTGGCTCCAACTCATTGACAATGTCTGATTTAAGTCAACCCACTGAGCAGCGTTGGTGGCATAGTGGGTTAAATGTTGGGCCACTAACCAAAAGGTGAGAAGTTCAAACCCATCAGCTACTTCATGGGGGCAGGGGAGTGGAATCTACTTCCAAAAAGATTTAGCCTCAGAATTCCTAATGGGGAAGTTCTTTTTCCTAAAGGGTCCTGAAGGGTCGCTAGGAATCAAAATCAACCAGACGGCAGCAGGTTTGTTTTTCACCCATGCTCCTGGGCTCTGCCCCATACTCTAGCAACTTGGCTACCTTATGAGAGAAAGCATGTGCCCAGAAAAGACTCAGGCTTCAGAGCCAGGCTCCCAGAATAGACCATGGGGCACTCAGAGCCTCCAGGACCTGGAGCAGGAGCCCTGACCTGGGCAGGCCCAGCCCTGGGGATTAATGAGAAAATCTACTCTGCTTGAAAATATTATTTTACTTCATTAAAATGAAAAACTCAGCTATCATTTCCCTGGGCTGAGATTGTCACAGCATAAAGAAATGTCCTTGGTCTGAGGCCAGCTTCATGCCTTTCTGGTCAGGGGAGATGGGAGGCTTGAGTATTGCTGGCCGGCAGGGAAGTTGATCTAAATCCATCTCCTGGGTTCGTGGCGTGCTGGAGATGTTGAGGTGCAGGCTCCAGGAAGGGCAGGGGGTGAGCCATGCCTGGAGAAGCCTCATCCTTGATGGACAAGGGTGTTTTGGGGAATTTTGTGATGTACTTTGCCCCCGTTACATTTAATGATGGCCCAGATGCAAGGAAATAAATAACTCCAGTAATTTTATATTTCTATTGCCTATAGCTTTACTCATTAATGCCATGACGGTTGTCCATGGTGGACAATGTTTGGTGGAGCTCTCAGATTAAGACACGTTTGGAAGCAGGAGTGGCACCCACTTCCTAAACATCATGCTTCTGGAAACTCTATGAACTTAGAGAAATGACGATAGTTATAGAACAGGGTTCAGGTCTTTCATTCATAGGGTAGCTATGAATGGTGCTCGACTTGACAGCAATCAACAACAACAATAGCTTACTCATTCACTCAGAAGCTATTTATTGAACATTTACTATGTGCCAGGGATTGACATTCTTTATGTCACTTTAAACATGATGGATTAAGGCTTAAAAGCTACTTTCAAATCCTGTGTGGTTTGAGTCTCAGAGACTGTGTCAGTGAAGTGGGACTTGGGTGGTGTTCAGCTCAGTAACTGCTCCTGGCTAGAAGAATGCTAACGTCTCTCTGGTTTGCAGGATCTGGTGGTCAGAGCTTGGCAGTGGGCTGGTAGAACACTATAGGGCCCACGCCCCAGTCATCCCTGATCACCACTCTGCATTGTCGTACAGGAGCAAGATTGGGACAGCGGAAGCGAGGCAGACGGGGAGAGCTGGTACCCCACCAACATGGAGGAACTAGTGACGGTGGATGAGGTGGGGGAAGAAGATTTTATCATGGAACCAGATATCCCCGAGCTGGAGGAAATTGTGCCCATTGACCAGAGAGAAAAACCCTGCCCTGAAATATGCCCTTGTGGGACGATTGCGTTGGACCTGAACTTGGCCAAGGAGGGGGTCAAGGAACTGGGTACTGGGGCTCCCGAAATCAGCCTCAAGTCAACCAGAGAACTGCCTTCAGCTTCCGGGAGCTGTCCCAGTGACATGGACGTGGAAACGCCAGGCCTAAATCGGGACGCTGAGCGGAAGCCAGCTGAATGTGAAACAGGCCACTCACTGACGGCTTCAGATTGCTTCGAGAAGGAAGCCAGGGGAGTGGAGGGCGCAGATGTTTGCCCGGACCCAGCAGTGCAGCAGATGTCTTCCCCAGAGCCAGCAGCCCAGCGGGCCCAGTCGCCCAGCCCAGCACTCGATGACAGCAAGGCCAGGGGGACCCCCGACGATGCAGCTTCTGACGGCAGCCCCCCTGCTGAAACAGACCTCCAAGGCCAGGCTTGCCAAGGCGTGGTGACCCCAGGTAACTACCCTTCACATTCCCAAGTGCGGTTGGGTTGTTCGGACAACTGCCCACCTGAAGAGGTGTGTGGGCAGGTGCAGGCCAGAGTGGACAGCAAGGGGGGCTGACACTAGCATTCATGCCAGTGCAGAAAGTCATTTAGTCAGAGGGGCCAGCTTCTTAAAACCTGGTGAGACCAGGAGAGCATTTGGGTGAGTGGTGTAAAGGAATTCAGGTAGGAAGTGGAACATGTTTAGAGATGCCGGATCAGGTAGGACGTGCTGAGTTGATGGGAGCCCAGACAGAGTTAATCAGGATGAACTTGAGTTAACAGCCAACGAGGTGGGATCTGCAAGCAGCCCCTCCAGTCTGAAGACAGATGAGCACCCACGCTATGCTCTGAGGTCTGAGGGATGGGGTCAGAGTGCGAGAGGTGGGAGTGGACAGAAAAGAGTGAGGGGCTTGTTCCCTCTTTACTATCTCAGACCCGTTTACTTCCAGGGTTTGGCAGTGAAACTAGACGTGTCCCGGGATCTCCTCAGCCTCCCTCAGAGGTGATGTGGTGTTCGTGCCCGGCACTGTGACATCATGAAAGGGAGTTTAAAATAGACTAAGCCAAGGTCTTATCTGCCAAAGATCCACTGAGGGCTATGGGGTGGGGGATGGCCGCTGTGGAGGAGGAGGGCTGCTGGCCCCTACGCACCCTGGAATGAACTAGATGCATTTTAAGGAAAACCTGCAGCAGAGCAGAGGCCGGGGGAGGAAAAAAGAGAGGAGAGCCAGGGGAGCGGTGCAGAGCATATCGGGGCAAGTCTTAAAAATAAACATTGCCACCCAGGGCTCTGTGGGTGGCCGGAACTGGTAGTTGACCTGGAGGCTCGGGTTCTTCTCGGAGTCACGCTGACCTGGGCTGTTTTTCACCTGTGTGGATCCAGGTCTCCATGGAAACTCTGCCACGAGCTGCCTTCTTGTTGCTACAGAAACCCTGAGGCCCCGGGTCACTCCACAGAAGGCGAGGCTTGGAGAGTGGAGTTGTCAGCTTGCCCTGGTCGAACCCCTTTGGTTTGGCTGTGGGGGTCTCCGCATGCATTGATGTTAGAGGCTTACCCAGTGTTTTGAGTTCGTAGCTAATGACACAGCTTCACAAGCTTCGTTTTTCTTGTTGGCCAGTCTTGGCATTCCCGTGGACGTCAGCACGACTTTTGTCCTTCATTAGTTCTTCTGGCTGCAGAGATGAAATGATACCGAGTTGTGGGGGGTGCGGGGGTGGATCATCTCAGCCAGAGGCCTCAACGTCCATTCCCGTGAACTTGGAACGCACTTGCCAAGTGCCCTTGTGTGTGGCTTCCCCTTGACAGTGGGAAAATGCTCATCATTACGGCACTTTGGCTCTAATTAGCAGTTGTTTTCCTAGCTTCATACTATTAAGCCCAGGTGACAATCCCAAGCGCATCATGCAGGGATTCGCATTGTAGGGCTGCTCTGCGGTGCAGCATGTTCCATTCGTTCGTTATCTTGGCTCATATTTTGCAGAAAACTCCGGGTATACGGAAATCAAATCCCTGGACACAAGCTCACCGGAATACACTGAAGTGGAGCCCAAACAGCCCCTTTCTCTGCCTTCCTGGGAACCGGAAGATGTGTTCAGTGAACTTAGCATTCCTCTAGGTAGGTGCAATACACAGTCCTGCCCCCGAACTCAGCTCCAGGAAGTGGTAGCTCTGGAACAACATCTAAGAACACAAGAGGGCTTTTTGTCGTGTGTTGTTATTGTTATTGGGGTGGTTTTTGGTTTTGGGTTTTTTTTGTTTGGTTTTTTTTTTTCCCCTGATGCAAAGCCCTAACTTTGTAAAGCGCTGCTTTAAAGTTTCTTGCAATTTCTGCTCCCTTGATGGGCCCAATGCCCTATAGAGCCGGCCCTTAAAAAGCACAGTCCTGGAACGTAGAACTGGAAGCTTCTTTGCCCACCTGGGAAGGTGTTATTCTTCATCCCTCAGAGCCTCTAAGTCTGCTTCTTGTTCGGAGGCTGGATGTTCTCTGCAGAGTCAACAGAAAAACTTTTGATTTGCTTCTCCTTGCCTCCTGCCCCTCTCCCAGAGCCGGAGCATCCCACCTGCATTGAGGTGATCCCAGCTGATAGCCACCCTGCAGAACTGCCCCAGAGAGTTTCCCAGGTGGTAACCTTTACAGAAACACAAGGCCTCGTCTTTCACAGAGCAACTAGTAGACTCAAACCACTGACTTTCTGGTTAATAGTCAAATGCTTCTCCCATAGCTCACCACCATCAAGTCACATTTATGGAGGTGACCATGAAGATTTACATTAAGATGTAAGTCTTTACAGGATGAAGCTGCCCATCTTTCTGTCTTAGAGTAACTTGTGGATTTGAACCACTGACCTTTTGGTTACATTAAATGCGCTGTGCCACTAGGTCTCCTAACCACAGCATCAGTCCTGCCCCAAACAACATCTCATTCTTCCTCCTTGGAGGTAATGATACTGAAGAGACTTTGGAGGAGGCTCTATGTGGTTGATACAGGGACCACTAGACAGAGAAAAGTTGGAACCTTCTCTTTCTTTTCTGTTTGCTCGATGATTATGGCCTCAGATAAATCAGACCCCTTCTGGAGTATTAGTGCCCAGCTCCATCATCTGGAATTGGATCAGTTTTGTTGTTTTCAGTAGTAATGTGGCATGATGGTATGAGAATTATCTAGGGCTCATTGTCAAACAGAGCAAGAGAGAGAAGCCAGATTCTCGGGGCGGGCAGGCAGCATAGTCTGGGATAAATCAAACATGCTATTTTTTAAATCTTCACGTTGTCACTAAAAGGTGAGTGAAGTGATGAGAGAGAGCGAGAGCGAGAGAGTGAGTGAGAGAGAGAGAGAAAGGAAGGATTAGATATACCTGGCAAAGAGAACAGCCTGACAGGCCATCTCCACTCCGTGATGACCAACTAGCCAGGTCCACTCCTGCAGGGCAGGACAGTCACTGTGGAAGTCACCTTTCCACTCAAGTTCCTATTGCCCTCCTCTTCTCCTTGAAGAAGAATCCCTTACTGTTTTATTCTTCTAAATGTGTCCTTTTCACGATCTGATTTGAGACAAAGTTTCCTTTTGTTTCTTAAGGTATAAATTTGTGCAGTATCCCCTAGGACAGAAAACTAAAAAAATTAAAAGAAAAATTCTGACCTTTCAGTGAACTAACTGAACCAGATATTTTTTATTTTGTTTTGTTTTTACTGAGATGAAATTTTCATTATAAAGTGTCCAATCAGAAGCATTAAGTGCATTCACAGTATTGTATAACCTTTGGCCCAGTATGCCTTCATTACTCTAGCAGGACCCTGTACCCATTAAGAAGTTACTCCTCATCCCCCCGTTCCTCCACCCCCTTTCCGTCTTTTTTCTATGGACTTGTCTGTTCTGAATAATTCTTGTACATGGAATTGTGCACCAAGCAGCATTTTGTGCCTGACGTTTTTCTATTAGCCTCTTATTTTTTAATGCTTATCCATGTTTTACCGTGGGTATTGTAACCATAAAAGACAGTTGCAGCCTGCCTCCAGGAGAAAGGTGGCTAGGTGTTTCATTCCTGTATTCAGTCAACGTTTCCTGGAGAAAGTAGCCCTGAGCTGGTACCTCCGAGGAAACCAAGAAATGTAACATGACTCTCTTGTCATTCAAGAACTTGGAATTGAACTGACACACAAGCAAAAATTAAGAATCACTTCTGCCTTGTACTTAGTGCCCTTTCTTGTGCATTTCTTTATTTTTAATAAAAAAGTAAGAAAAATAGCAGCCAAGTTTGTTAGTGGTTACCATGAGCTACGGAAGGAGATTGGAAGGCACTGAAGTACGTAGTACTGAGTTTCTCCTGGGTGATTGAAAAATGTAGGCAACTAGATTGTGGTGATGGTTGTACAACATCGTGGATGTAAGTAAGGTCACAGAGTGCACACTGAAAGTTGGTTAAATGAAAAATTTTTTTGGTTGCTGATGGCTCTGCCAACCTAAAGGCAAGCAATTCAGATCCACCAGCTGTCACACTATAGAAAGATGGGCAATTTACTGTCTCATGTGCAGTCGATTTACTGTCTCTGAAAACCCACTGGAAGGTTAGCTGTGGGTCAATTTTTGCTCAACAGCACACAACTTTTCAGTAGAATAAAAGAAAATTTAAGGGTGAATGATAATTCAGAAAAAATTTAAAACCATGTAAATTGAAATTTTAAAAATTGTTTCTTTGAGGTTCTCTGCAGCCCCCATAGATAGTTTTTGTCGCTGTTATATCCCATCAAATATGACTTCTAGTGATGCTAAGAACAACAGGTCTGAACCCTGTCCTATCCTGGGCTGTCCTCAGCATCTCTGACACACTTGAGCCCATTGCTGCAGTCACTGTGTGAGTCCATCTCATTGACAGTCTTCCTCTCTTTTGCTGACTCTCATGGCTAAATCAGTTATGCCTTAGGCCTTAAACTGATATTATTGCTCCTCAGTACATTGGAGTGGTCCCTGACAGCACATTTTCCCAATATACTATGTCTTACTGATTTCCTGCTTGCTAGTGTCAAGGGTGTTGATTGTGGATCCAAGTAAGATGAAATCACTGGCAACTCAGTTTTTCTCCATCTATCATGATGTTGCCTATCAGCTCAATGTTGAGGGGTTTTTTTCTTCTTGATTTTGAAAAGTAATCCATATCAAAGGCTGTGGTCTTTAATCTCTTGAAGCAAACATTTGAGGTTCTCCTCACTTTCAGCAAGTAAAGTTGTGTCATCTGCATGATACAGGTTGTTGGTGAGGCTTCCTCCAATCTTCCTCCCTCCCCTAAGTTTTAGCCCAACAGTCCCAAGGCACAATTCCTCAATTAGTCCAGGCTCTGGTTTCAATTCAGCAGTCAAAATCAAATCATCATGAAGGTTTGCTTTCAAGGAGTTTTAAGTCAGCTTCTCCTTCAAGCATCAGCAAAAACCTTTAACTGTGGCCAGCACCAATGCAAGAAGCCTCAAATCACAACTTGGCAGTTTTTACAGAGTGATGACACCGTCTCTCCATCACCATCGCAAGGGTCTTGCTCTCACCAAGGTCTTGTTCCAGTCTCCCTCAAATCTTACTGCTGCGAGTCTTGCTCACCTCAAGACTTGCTGCCCAGTATGAGAAGCACTCTTTTGCTTATCTTAGTCCCACAGCTATTGAAAATGTATAAGACCATGTGTCTGCAGTTAAGGTAGCTGGAGATCAGCTTGGGAAAACTGTAAAGGCCAAAAAGAAGCCAACTTTTAGGCTAACGTTACACTACCAATTCAGCAAATTAATGCAAACAGCAATCAGAGGATTACGTGAACAACATTTGTTGCCAAATCTTTTGGAAGACAGTAGCAAATCTTCTGACACAGACATATTCAACGTTAAAGAAGTCAAATCAGAGTAAACAGGAGAAAAGGATAAGTGTCATCTAAGCTGCATCTACGGACTAAGTGCAAATACGGAGACAGCTGATGTTTACCTAGCCAACATCAATTCAGTTTCTTGACTTTCTCTTCCTCCAGTCTCCCCACCCCCCACTTTTTTTTCTCTCCACATGTAGCCCCTGTCAGTGCTCTCAGCCCATGGGTGATGGGGTTAGGCAATGGTTCACAACCACTGTTTACTCTGGTACCGGCACAGATGGAAGACCCATAAAATCTTCCAATCTTGATGCCAAATTCTTCTTCATAGAGTCCAGTTTATAGAATGATTTGCTAAGCATCCAGATTGAATAGGAGAAAGGATACAGCCCTGATGTACACCATTTTTTATTTTAAACTAGGTAGTGTTCCCTTTGATAAATAAGAACTTTGATATATGATGATAGTTATAGAAAGACTTCATAGAGTCAGTATGAATCATGTTCAACTTGACAGCAATCAACAACAACAACAACAACAGTGTTCCCTTTCTCTGTTAGGACAACAGCTTCTTGGTCTGGGTATAGTTTCATATGATCATAATGAAATGTTCTGGGATCCCCAGAACAACCAACCATAGTTTGATGATAGAAAACCATAATATTTTATGATCCATCCAGCCAAATTACTCACTGTCATATCCGTGGATTGTTCTCCTACCACAAAATTCGATCACAGTATACATGTAATTAAGAACCCTGGTCCATAGGATGTTATATGTTGGGCTATTTACCTAAAGATGATTGGAGTCAACCAGCTGCTCCTAGGGAGAAAGATGGGCAGTCTCTTTCCATAATAATTTACAGTCTTGGGCTCCATGGAGGACCACCACGATTGGGAATTGACTTGACACAGTGAGTATAGTTTTGGATTATTATATGCAAAGTGCCCTGAGATTTGCTTTTTTTCTTCCCTTAATACGGGTCATAGAGATATCTTCGTGTTGAAACGTACAAAACACATTCTTTCAAGATATACCAAATTTTGTTAATCCATGATGAACATTTTGGTTGTTTGCAACTTTTTTCTTTGTCATTCTAAAAAGGCTACAATAGCTACATTTTTATCATTCACCACTCAAGTGCTATTGCTAGTGCTTTGTTTGAATTATCTCATTGAAATCTCTCCAAAACCCCTATTGAGTTAGTTAATATATCAACCTCTACTTAACAGAAAGTTGCACGGTCACAAATCTAGTGGACAGTGAAGAGTAGA